ACTATGTATGAGTCTGCAGGGTTTGCAATCTTCTACTCTTATAATCTAATGTCCATTAGACTGTTGTCCTGTACACATTGTTAGAGTTCACAAAATGGCTGGAAGTTTATCCGGGCATGTGACAAAACTGCATTTACTTCATCAGGCCACTAGGTGATGAACAACTCACAAACCCTGACTTCCAGGGACAGTTGTATACAGGACAGTTTTAGTTTGTAGTTGGAAAGACCATCAGATGTCATCTGGTACAACCTTATTAAAAGGTCTTTTTGTGGGGGAGAGGGAAAACATGTCTCATGTATACTTTGTCTTTCCCAGCTTTGTTCCAATTTTAAATATTAATTTGAATAAAGTACTTTCTCTGAGTGGTCTTAGAAAAGGGGCCTGCTTGGCACTTTCAAGGTCCTTATATGTCCAATTTTATTTTTTTAAAAATTTTTAAATGTTTTTATTAATTTCTGAGAGAGAGAGACAGCGTGAGCAGGGGAGGGTCAGAGAGAGAGGGAGACACAGAATCGGAAGCAGGCTCCAGGCTCTGAGCTAGCAGTCAGCACAGAGCCTAATGTGGGGCTTGAGCCCATGAACCATGAGATCATGACCTGAGCCGAAGTTGGAGGCTTAACCGAATGAGCCACCCAGGCGCCCTGCAATTTTGTTTTTAAAAAAATTAAAAAAAAATTTTTTTTAAATGTTTTATTTATTTCTGAGAGAGAGACAGCGTGAGCAGGGGAGGGTCAGAGAGAGAGGGAGACACAGAATCGGAAGCAGGCTCCAGGCTCTGAGCTAGCTGTCAGCACAGAGCCTGACGTGGGGCTCAAACCCACGAACCCTAAGATCATGACCTGAGCCAAAATCAGACGCCCAACCGACTGAGCCACCCAGGCGCCCCTATATATGTATATTTTAAAGATTTTATTTTTAAGTAATCTCTATGCCCAATGTGGGAGTCAAACTTAGAACCCTGAGATCAAAAGTCTCATGTTCTACCAACTGAGCCAGCCAGGCACTCCTGTATTTTACCATAATGTAGGAATGATGTCTTGACTTGGTTTAGGATTCTTATATAGTAGTTCTACCCACTGCAAAGTCTACATGCAGCTTTCTCCTGTTTTTAGTTTCAAGTGATACAGGTGGGAAGTCCAATGCCAGTAGGATTATTTTTCCTTGTAAGTAAGTACCTGTCCTTTCCCTTTGGAAGTTTGTAAATTTTTTTTCTTCATGCTTAACATTTCATCATGATATGCTTTAGGTGTGTTTTTAAAATAGCTCTGCTTTCCCCTTGTTGAACCTTTTGGAACCTTAAAAACTTAAATCTTTTTTTATCTCAAGGAGGTTTCCATCTGTTTCCAACCTTCTTACTTCACAGAAGAAGTAACTGAGTCCAGAAAGGTGACTTGCTCAAGGTCACTCAGCTAGTTAACAGTGATCCTCAATCAAATAACTTGACTTATTTGATGAACTAGAGTTTCATTGTATTGAATATTGCTCTATTGAGAGGGCCATGATAAAAAACTTGGGAAATTTTCTAGTGAGACACAAATTTTGCTGAGGGTTCATGGGGACATGAAGAAGAACAAAGAGCTGATAAAATTCATTATGATTAAAATGTGGCCCATTTGGGGGATCCTTGGGGGCTCAGTTGGTTAAATATCTGATTCTTGATCTCAGTTTCGGTTATCATCTCATGTTTTGTGGGTTTGAACCATGTTTCTGGCTCTGTGCTGACGGTGTGGAGCCTGCTTGGGATTATTTCTGTCTCTCCCTCTTTTTTCCCTCCCCCACTCATGCTTTTGAGCTTTCTCTCTCTCCCTCTGAGACTCTCTCAAAATAAATAAAAATGTGGCTCATTTGAAGAACTGTAAAACTCATAAGGTATCCCAGTTATTGGAGTTAACCCAGAGCTCTAAAACTTAATAAAGTTAGTTTTGCAAGGGAAAAAAAAACTTAATAAAGCCAGGAAGTTCATTGAACACTTGGATAATTAGATATTTAGTTGTCAGGAGTTGGATAAGCATGGTCATGCCCTTTTGTAAATATTGGAAAACATATGAGGCTTGGAGACAGACATCATAAATCGTGTCTTATCAGTTGTCTGGTTTCTGTTTTGAGTTCCAGCCTGGGACCCTTTTCTGCTGGGAACCACCTGTTCCCAGCTCTGCTGATCTTTGGATTTCCCCAGCCTTCAGTTCCTTTCAGTTTTGAAATGAAACCTACCCCATCGGGTGAGGTCAGGTACTGAGAGGACTTTGACAGCTCATACCAGGTTGTTTTTTTCTAGAGTCTGGTATGTGACTGTGTGAAATGTAAGGCTCAGCAGGCTGTGATACAGACTAATTGATGGTGAATCAGCTGTTGGGTAGGGCCCAGGTAGTGCCATTTCTTTGGGTAACCAGGAAAACATGTAGACCAAATATGTTGTCTTTCATCCTCAGAAGTTGAAACCTAAGAGTACAGTCACCAGAAATCTGCCATGATCTCTCTGCCTTAATTTACTGCATAAGGAAAAACATTGTTTCAGTGTCTTTTCTCCTTATTTTTAGAACCTCCTTACTTTTCAGGAAGGAGCCAAGTCCTTGGCCTCTTTCTTCTGCTCCAGCTTCTAAACGTTTATACTGTGCCTCCTGGAATTGCTGCTTTGATGTGAAGTGACTCCTCTAGATACTCCTAGACACACATACCCCTGTGCCCCGCCCCCAACCCCTTCACAGTATTTGGCTTCCCTTTTTCCCTTTGTTGTGAAACTAGTTTCCATGATACTATAGCACTTTGCTTGGAATATATATAAGTGGTATTGGCTCTTTAACTCACTCCATACCACTTCTGCCTGATTTTACCTGACTGTCCCCCAGTCACATCCCTCAACACTGCAAAACTGCTTCCAGACCTTCAAATACCTTTTCCCCTTTGAGACTTCGCTGGCCTGATCAGGGTTACCTGATCCCTGTCCTTGAGTACAGTTAGCATCTGTACCCAGTATGGCGCTCAAACTCACAACCCCAAGATCAAGAGTCACATGCTCTACTGACTGAGCCAGACAGGCGCTCCTCATTCTCCCATGTTTGTTTAAGATTTTAGTGTTTGACCTCTCCTCCTGGGACTCTGGCCCAGGCTAGGGGATTGGTGGTCAGATTTGGCCTGAGTCCAGTGATTCAGGGTAGACCATGGAATTAGGTAGTGTGGTGGTAACGTCTCAGATGTGGGCAGATGGGAAACCATAAGATCTGAGCACCAGAGTCATCCGGGGTGGAAGAAACAGAGAAAATTTAGTATCTGAAGCAAAGGATATCCTTTGTAGGCTCCCGCTTCTGCTCATTTGAAAAAAATTAAGGGCACCTGGGTGGCTCAGTTGGGTGAACGTCGGATTCTTGATTTCAGCTTGGGTCATCATCTCACAGTTTGTTGATTAGAGCCCTGTGTCACGCTTCATGCTGACAGTGCAGAGCTTGCGTGGGATTCTCTGTCTCCCTTTCTCTCTGCCCCTCTCCCCCTTGTACATGCCCACGCACTCTCAAAATAAATAAAAATTTTTTAAAAATTAAGTTTTATTTTTTTTTTATTTTTATTTTTTAATTTATTTCTAGGAGAGAAAGACAGCGTGAGCAGGGGAGGGTCAGAGAGAGAGGGAGATACAGACTCTGAAATTGGCTCCAGGCTCTGAGCTGGAACCCACCAACCGCGAGATCATGACCTAAACGAAAGTCGGACGCTTTACCGACTAAGCCACCCAGGCGCCCCAGAAAAATTAAGTTTTTTTTAAAGAACAGTTTTAGGTTCACAGAAAAAATTGAGGGAAAGAGAACAAAGATTCCCATTATTATTATTTTTAAGTAAGCTCTGTGCCCAACGTGGGGCTCAAACTCACAATCCTGAGATCAAGAGTCACGTGCTCTCCATCTGCTTCTCTCCCCTGCTGGGGCATACTCTGCCTTTCTCTCTATTTTTAAAAATTTTTTAATTTTATGTTTTTTAATGTTTTATTTATTTCTGAGAGAAGGAGAGAGAGACCACGTGAGCAGGGGAGGGTCAGAGAGAGAGGGAGACACAGAATCTGAAACAGGCTCCAGCCTCTGAGCTGGCTGTCAACACAGAGCCTGATGCAGGGCTTGAACCCACGAACCGCGAGATCATGACCTGAGCTGAAGTCGGCCGCCCAACCAACTGAGCCACCCAGGCACCCTTCCCCCTTTCTCTCTAAAAAAAAAAGGTCACATGCTCTACTGACTGAGCCAGCCAGGCACCCTGAAATTCCCATTATTTTTGAAAAATTGATCTTTAATATTATAGGAAATGTAATAATATAATCTAAAAAAAATGAAAATCTGCAGATATTTTTAATTCTCTTGCTCTCCTGCACTCATTTCAGTTATTTATGTATTCCTCAAAAGTGGTTACTTGTTATGGGTGCCTGGGTGGCTCGGTCGGTTAAGCGTCCGACTTCACCTCAGGTCATAATCTCACGGTTTGTGGGTTCGAGCCCCGCGTCAGGCTCTGTGTTGACAGCTAGCTCAGAGCCTGGAGCCTGTTTCAGATTCTGTGTCTCCCTCTCTCTCTGACCCTCCCCTGCTCTCGCTGTCTCTCTCTCTCTCAGAAATAAACAAAACATTAAAAAAAAAAAAAGTGGTAACCTGTTAGTGTTTGGAATGTACCTTCCAGACTTTTTTTTTCTTTGTGTTGATATACATGTGTATGAACCTAGAAAGAGTGTTAAGTTTTGTGTTTTATTTATTTACACAAATGGGGTCACATTTTATATGTTATTTTAGTATTTCTTTGATTCAGTAATGTTCCTTATAGTATGTTGGTACATAAAAATAACTTCTCCTTTATTTTGGCTATTGTATAATATTTTGTAGAATAGATGTACTGTATTTAGCTATTTTTCTATTGAGAGACATTAAAGTATTTCCATTTTGATGCTATAAATGATTCTTGTTGTATTTTAAGTGTTAGCATTCTGTTTCTATGTCTTTTTTTTCCCCTTTTCCTTATACTCTTCCTAGGTGATCTCAACTTCTCTGACACCTCCGCTTAACCATCTACACATGGATGATGCCCAGATCTTTCTATAGACCACAGTTTCCAACTGCTCACATGGAAACATCACGAGGATGTTTAGCATACTCTGCAATATGCAACCTCCTGCTCTTCCCCATTTGGTCCTCATCCATTGTCCTCATCACATGTAAGTAGCACACACTTACTAGGCCCAAAGCCTGGTAGTCATTGTAAGGCTTCCCTTCCCCTCCTACAGCCAGCAACCAGCCTATCACTAGGACTTTTCCTCCCCATTATTTCTTGGATCCAGTTGCTTTCTTTCCTTCTTCATTGCCTGTACCTTGTACCTTAGTTTTCTGATTTATAAAATAGAGTATTTGTGAATATTAAATCAATTAATACATGTAAAATGCTTAGAACAATAGATTAGCACCCAGTAAGTTTTATGTGAATGTTGGTTGTTGTCATCATAATCATTGTCGTTGTTGTTGGGGTCTTCCCAGTGTACATAAGCCATTCTCATATCTACCTGCAGTCTTGATTTTATCCTTCCCTACCTCTCTTCCACTCTGCACATTGAAGCCAGAGTGATCTTTATAATATATATAAATGATCATGGTCTAACTTTCCTGCTTAAAGAAACTTCAATGATTTTGCCATTGGGCTTTTACATGTACTGTCATCCCCATCTAGAATGCTTTTTCCCTTTGTCTTTAAATGATTGTCTGTTTTTTTTTTTTGTTTGTTGTTTGATATACTTGTTTCTAAATGTTATCTCAGAGAGGCCTTCCCCTCACCACCTAATTATTCCACAGTAGCCACTCATATTCTTTCTTTCACATCACCTATTTTATTTTTTTAAATTTTTAAATTTTTAAAAATTTTTTTCGGTAAACATTTTATTTATTTTTTACAAATAGTTTATTGTCAAGTTGGTTTCCATATAACACCCAGTGCTCATCCCCGCAAGTGCCCTCCTCCAACTCCCTCCTCCCCCCCCACACCCATGAGTCCTCAGTTTGTTCTTAGCATTCAAGAGTCTCTCATGGTTTGCCTCTCTCCCTTTCTCCCACCATTTCTCCCCTTCCTCTCCCCCATGGTCCTCTGTTAAGTTCCTCCTAATCCTCCTATACGTGCAAACATATGATATTTGTCCTTCTCTGCCTGACTTATTTCGCTCAGCATAACACCCTCAAGGTCCATCCATGTTGCTACACACGGCCAGATTTCATTCTTTCTCATTGCCATGTAGTATTCCATCGTATAGATGAACCACATCTTGATCCATTCGTCCGTTGTCACATCACCTATTTTAAATTTTTGCATAGCACTTATTAATATGTGTTATTTTTCCAGCTTATTCACATATTTGTTTATAGTCTCCTCCAGTTAATTTTTTTATTTAAATTTTTTTTTTTTTTTTTTTAAGTAGGCTCCACACCCAGTGTGAGACTTGAACTCATGATCCTGAGATCAAGAGTTGGTTGTTCTACCAACTGAGCCAACCAGTCATCCCTGGTCTCCTCCAGTTAGAATTAAATTCTCTGAGAAAGACAGATATATGTTTTCACTCCTAATTTGAGAAACTTAACAGAAGACCATGGGGGAAGGGAAGAAAAAAAAAACAGTTACAAACAGAGAGGAAGGCAAACCATAAGAGACTCTTAAATACAGGGAGCAAACTGAGGGTTGATGGGGGTGTGGGGTTGGCGGGGCGGGGAAATGGGTGATGGGCATTGAAGAGGGCACTTGTTGGGATGAGTGCTGGGTGTTGTATGTCAGTGATGAATCACGGGAATCTACTCCTGAAGCCAAGAGTATACTGTATACACTGTATATTAGCTAATTTGACAATAAATTATATTAAAAAAAAAAGAATTCTCTGAGAACCAGAATATTGTCTCTTTTATTTACAATATATTCCTAATGCCTAGAACAGTGAGTGGCACGTTATAGGCATTCCGTGAATACTTGTTAAGTGAATTATAAAACAACTTCAGATATCTCATGAGGCCCTTTTTGGTCTTTCCAGCATCATTTGCTTCAGGATACCTTCTACTTTGGCCTCCCAACCCCTCATCTCTTCCGATGTGTTTTCTTGCTGCAAGATCTTTTTATATGCTGTTCCCTCTACTTAGAACATTTTCCCTTTGGGTGCCTGAGTGGTTCAGTCTGTTAGGTGACAGACTCTTGATTTCAGCTCAGGTCATGATCTCTTGGTTTGTGAGATCAAGCCCCATGTTGGGCTCCATGCTGACGGTGCTCAGATCCTGTTTCTGATTCTCTCTCTGCCCCTCATCTGTTTGCACTTGCTCCTTCTCAAAATAAATAAATTTTAAGAAAGAAAAAAGGATCACTTTTCCTCAAGTGCTCTGCCACTGCCTGGGTATCTCCTGTTCATTCTGAAGTTTCAGCTTAGGTGTAACTTCACCTGACTGTCTTTTTTTTTTTTTCTTTTTTAATGTATGTGTGTTTATTTTGAAAGAGAGGGATAGAGAATCTCAAGCAGGCTCTGTTTTCTGTCAGTGCAGAGCCCGATGTGGGGCTTGATCCCACAAATGTGAGATCATGACCTAAATTGAAATTAAGAGTTGGACACTTAACTGACCGAACCACCCAGGCGCCCCAAGACTGTCCTTCTTAGTTTTCCATCTCTACGTGTATTATCTTTACTTGTAGATGCTGTAATTATTTGTCTCCCTCATGAGATGGTCAGTTTTGTTGGGCAAAGGCCTAGCTAGGTCTTGCTTACCATGTATTCTTAGTCCTACTGGTGGGGCTGGAAGCATCCCTTGAGATGGGGTGCTGGGTAAGAGTACCCAGAGTAGTACTTGAGGGCTAAGAAGTGTGCCTTAGAATGTCAGAGTAAGGTCAAGTCATTTGGCCTTGGCTCATCTTCATTCTCTTTATTCTATCTTTGGTGATTCCAGTATTTTGCTGAATGAGCCATCTATCATGCTTGAGATGAATCATCTAATACATTTGTCTCTCTCTGAGACACATTTACAAAATCAGGATAGGCCTGGCAGAGACCTTGCTCATGGAACGGGGCATGAGTGCTGTGGATAAAAATTGGGGATCTGGGTAGGCAGATTATTTACTTTCGAGTGGCTGATGACAGAATAACTGAGTGCAATGAAAGAAGCCTTAGGGATAAGGTGAGGCAAAGATGAAACAGGAAACTGAATCATTAAGTCAGAAACCTAGAGAATCAGGATAGTGGGTGGAGTGTAAGAAAGGACAGGGCAAGCAGTTCAAGATTATGGCCATAAATAATATTGGAGATTACTTAAGTCATCTTTTGGCATTCTCCCCTCTTTAGTGTGGAACCAGCTTTTGGATTAAAAGAAGAATCAGGTAGTTGACATATAAAGGTTTGAACTAGATTGCACATTACTTTGTATTTTATAAGTTAATTACTTAAATGTGAAATCTTCAAAAATCCAACCTTGTACCTTTTCCCCACACTTCAGTTTCTACTCCCAAGAGCCCACTTTCCCTCCTTTTATTTATTTTATTTTTTTAAGTTTATTTATTTTGAGAGAGAGAACGAGAGCAAGTATGAGCAGGGGAAGGGCAGAGAGAGAGGGAAGGAGAGAGAGAATCCCAAGCAGGCTTGACACTGTCAAAATGGAGCTCAATGTAGGGCTCAAACTCACAAACTGAAATCATTACCTGAGCCAAAATTGAGTCAGATGCTTAACTGACTGAGCTGCCCAGGCGCCCCTCCCTCCTTTTAAATATACTAGGTTTAACTAGTTAATTTTTGATAAAAGTTTCCTGTACAGAATCCTATAGCAATCTTGGTGCTCTCTTTAGGTAGGCTGAAGATATTCCCTTTACACAGAATGAGCACTCTTTCAGATTGTACCTCTTCCTACCAAACCATGCATAGGAACTGGCTTCAGCAGCCTCAGGAATTCAGGACTCTGCCTTGCTGGATTCTGTGGAATTTCTGTCTGAATTGTGGGGAAGGACATGGGAGCGTAGATTATATTGGTGAGGCATAGTAGGAGTAGTGGACGACTGGCTGGGTGTGCATAGGTGTGGGGTTTGAAGGTGTATAAGAAGTGGGCTTTGAAGTTTCTGACCTGGAATGGCCTTGAGTATATGACAGTGTTAGGGTGCTCTAATATATGCCAAGTAGAGAATGTTGGTGATTGGTGCCAGTCATTAACCCTTAGAGGCATTCTGTATGTTTTTTGTGTGGCCTGGAAGTCTTCTACAGATTGACCAGTAGCTGGCATCATGGTGGGTACTTGGGGAGAATCATGGGGATAGGAGCAGTACTTACTAAAGAGGGATATATTCTCTTTTAAAGGTTGGATAGAGTGATTACATGCACATCCTGGGCAGTGTAAGGCCCAGTCACCTTGTCTATGTGAGGCAAGGTATCTGTATTCCCCTCCTAGTGCTCTGCTGGGAAAACCAACCTAAGAGTGCCAGAGATCATGGCCACTGTTAGTGGTTCCCCCAGAATGTTCCCTATCTTTGACTCCTCTGTTCTTTAAGCCCCATGCTCTGATGTCCTGCCTTCTATTTTCTGCTTTGGTACCTTCAAATTTCATAATCCATTCTGACTCTTCTTTCTAGATTACTCCATGCCCAGCTAGATTCTTGGTTCTATGTAGTCTCCTAATTTTGACATTGCCAGTCAGCTTCAGTTGAGGGCCTTCCTCTATTAGCCCTGTTCGTCGAGCTGATTTTGAAGCTTTAATGCATCAGAATTACCCTTGCAGGCAAAGGAGGAGGTTGCTGGATACTTATTTAAAATGCAAATCCTGAGGTGCCTGGGCGGCTCGGTTGGTTGGGCATCCGACTTTGGCTCAGGTCATGATCTCATGGTTCGTGGGTTTGAGCCCAACGCCAGGCTCTGTGCTGACAGCTCGGAGCCTGGGGTCTGCTTTGGATTCTGTGTCTCCCTCTCTTTCTGTCCCTCCCCTCTAGCACTCTTGTCTGTTTCTCAAAAATAAACAAACATTAAAAAAATTTTTTTTTTAAAATGCAAATTCCTGGGGCACCTGAGTGGTTCAGTCAGTTAAGCGCCTGACTCTTAATCTCAGCTCAGGTCTTGATCTCAGGGTTGTGAGTTTAAGCCTCTCTCATGGTGTGAAGCCTGCTTAGAAAAACTCAAATTCCTGGGGGCACCTGGCTGGCTCAGTTGAAAGAGCATGTGATTCTTGGTCT